TTTCATTCGGGTTGTTGTTTGGTACCCTGACATTCAGGTATTCAACTTGGCTTACTCACAATTTGTATTGTAACTGTACAACTGTATTGTAAGGTCAAAAAGATCACCGAAAAATTTAATATGGCCTCTCAAGCACTCTGATAATATGTTCTGTACATGTCTCACCTCTTTCAATTTTTGTTTCCGTGTGCTGAAACAGGGAGAAGCACAATCTTACATAAGGCCCATTTTTCTTCTTTCAGCTAAGATTCCCTCCTCACAACAAATCACCTACAACCTACCACTATCTTTTGACCAGCATTTCCCCATCTTTGGAAAACATTCGACTTGCTTTAAAAAACATTTTACTTGCTCTAGTTTTTCAATATTTCTGTATAGAACTTACAATTGTTCTATTTTTAATGCTGCTGGCTGAGAACCCAAATGATTTGCAGCAAACATTAGATGGGACTGTCTGGTAGAGAATATGAACCTGAAAATTTATATAGCTAACTCTCCCAATTTTCAGATCCATCTTCCATGCTGGATTATAGTGTCTAAATTTACTGCAAATATTTTGGGTTCTTAGCCAATAACCCAGCACTGACTGTATACCAAAGTACATGTATCTTCATTGCACAAATCGTCTTACACTTTCACAAACATTTCTTCCACATTTATCCATAAATCACCAAGAGGACATCACTCTTCCTGAACTTACTGTCTCAGCAATCTGTTTATTCTGATGCATGCCTTATTTCCATAATAGTCTACTCTTATACCATTTAGCAGTCACCTTAACCTCCATGTGTGTGCAAAAACTTCCAGTTTTAGCTGTGTTGTCCTTTAAGTAAAAATATTCAATATAAATAATATTTTAAAAATCAAAACTTTTTTTAACCACATGTGAAGACATCTTGAATACAGAAATTCAGAGAGGGGGGGGGAGGGAGAGAGAGAGAGAAGCTAGAGTGCTGCTGAAAAAATTAAAGGTATATTTAAAGATAGGCAAATCAAAGATCTACAAGAAAACTTGTGGGCTGTGCAAGTGGAAGAAATTTCATTTCCCCCTCTTTCAAGACAAAGGTAAATCATGACAAAGAAATGAATATATTACCATTGCCATAGTATTACATGAATACTCACAGTCATTTGTCTGCGAATGTGAAATCTGTGAAACAAAGAAATCTGAAAATAAATTACTATAATTCTTTTAATGTAGAAAGCCCGACATGATTCTCTCACTTTTATTTATCGATTATTGCAATGTACTGATTTTAGCTATGTAGTACGATATGTATTTGCACAAATGATTTTTTTCAATTTTTGGAAATCTGCAGGGTTTTTTTTAAATTATACACAGTTCCTCCTCACTCAGTTTTTATTTTTCTACATATTCTTCTGTAAGGCAACATTGCCCTCTTGTGGCTTTATAAAAGACATTGGTTTTTCTTTGAAATAACCTGTCCTATAACTGGTTCAGACAATATTTGTTTTAAGGGTTCCCTCTACAGCAGCAGAAGCATATACATGAATCAAGTCACAAGGATCTGCATATACCACAAAGAAAAAAGGGGATCCCTTCCATTTGTTTCATTTTCACTGTTTGGCACTTGTATTATATTAAACAAAAGGAATGAAAATAAGCACACTTCATTGGCCCTGCTGGAAAACTTGTCATTACAGTCACTCTTTTTATTTTTATTTATTCAATTAATGGGGCGCTCCCATTAGGTGCAGTAAACTAGGTAGGAATTCCTGATTGCATTATAGTCATTGAACCATCTACATCCTGTAGCTATAATAAAATCAGTACAGCATTTAATATTGATTTTGAATGTTTAACACACACACACACACACACACCGGTTTCTTTTTCTTAAGGATGAGAACATCTTTGATTTGCATATTACAAATCCTGGAGAAGCAGTTTGGAAAGTAATATTAACACATTAAATCTTGCTTATGAGACTACCAGCTTTCATTAAGCGGCAATTGAAATCTGCATCAAATAACGCCATAAACTATATTCAAAGTCAATGCTCTAAAATGCACACACCTTTCAAAAGTAAATATATATAAAGAGACTTTTTAAAAATTGGACAGTATTTTTTATCCTCTTACGATAAACAACAAGCTTTATTGAGAACTATTCAGTAAGGCAGACAGGAAAGTCTAAATCTACTCAGCAGTTTTATGGTAAATCAAAATTAAAACTAGAGAGTCTTTAATTGAAAGCAATACCATTCTTTCCATTCAAGGCCTGTGAAGTATAGAAGAGATGCTAAAACTGTGGTTTGCTTTTACTTTAATCTAAAATGATAAGTAATGAGTTGCAGTCACTTTCATGAAAACTGATTTTATCTCCCCCCAATGACAATAGAAGTATGAAATTATTACATTATTTTTAAAAACGGTAAATGTACATTTTAGTCAATTTACAGAAGAAAATTGCAAAATCGTGAATTTATTCAATCAATTTTTATTATGATCAGACCAGCATTACCATGAATTTACTTATTCACTTGAATGTGTCTACTTACCTACCAGGAAAATTAGAGCTATTAGGTTATACTGAAAAGTAAGTTAAAAGACAACAATCCTGTAAGTATTGCAATTACAAGCCACTTCTGTACTGTGGGAAACAAAGCAATTTAGATGTACTGAAACAGATTGAAAGTAAAATAAGCTGAAAATATATTGTGATAAGGAAGCCTAATTGTTCAATTTAATCTGTACGATAATTGCTGCTGAATCTAATGTAGAAAATATGCAAAACAACAACAACAAAAAACAAACAAAAAACCAACCAGCCGTACAAACCTAATTGGGAGAAAAGAAATGTAAAAGTAATTTGAAAGCAAGCAATGCTATAAACCCTTGCTTGGATAGAATCTGATGATTTATCAGTGAAATCCTTTAACAAGGATCATGAAATCTGAATATTCAGGTATACCTGAATATTCAGAGTGGCAACATGATTATAAAAACTATTTCACATGTACATCAAATAGTGGAAATATAAATATAAACCTGAGAAATACATACGATAGAATGTTTTACATAATTGTTAAGATAATATTGTAAAAAAAAATTGTACCTGTCAATTATGTGACATTAATTTAGACAATTGTATTTTAAGAAATATACAGGAAAAAGACTGCAAAAATCTGAAGCCGAGTTATTTGGCTTGCACAATGCACACAGAACAGATTAAACATTGAAGTAGCTTTATAAATAAGTTGATGCGATTATGTGATACTGATCTAACTTAATAAGCCATGCTATTTTAGTTTTAACTTATGATAGAATTTACTTTTAGCAAAAAGTGACATTTAGCTTCAAAATATTTTAATTATTAAAAAAAGCACTTTCTACCAGTTTTTATGAAGTTGCTTTAAAAATCAATCTGAGGGCACATTCTTTATTCATCATACCATTTTCCTCTCTCTCTCTTCTCTCTCTTGGTAATTTATGCCTTCTGATTGAACTTACATCTCACTGCGATAAAGACATCATGCCGGCCACATGAATGTAGAAATGTCTTCAGACAGCGCTGGCTCATGGCCTTGAAACAGAGATGGCTACTGTCCTCTAAAGTCAGCAACAACTAGCAGAGAGAATCTACAGGGACTACTTTCCTTCCTATAGTAATTTCTCAATGTGGACAGGTAATTTTGCAAAGAAATACAATGTAATTGAAATAGGAAGCATGCCAGACATTTTTACTGGAACAATGACCAGAGATTTAACTTCGATTGATTCTGAATTTTATTATTTTATTTTAAAATACAAATCCAAAAATGTGAAGTAAACTTATACACACACAAAAAAATGTTTCAGTAACTAAAAAAAAACATAATATTTATAACTCTTCTATTGTCTATCTGAACAAGTTTACAACAGGAAACACAAGATATCATTCTTCAAGAAACAATCTGTATACATTTCTGGGAAAACCTTTGCACTCTGAAAATTGAGAAAGTATGAAAAATCAACACTAGAAGATAATTGTTTTTCAAAATATCTTAAACTTTTATTTCAGCTAATAAAATACACTGGATGTGTCAATGCTTTCCACCACTGAATATTCAGAATTACTGCAGTAGTTTCACTATATAAGCCTGCCATTTGTCAGTTTCTGTTGCTGGCATACTTTTCTAGAAATATATGTTATTTGTTAGTGTTAATTTTCTGAAAACCACTCTACATTGTAACCTCTGACCTTTTCCCCCAGTGGAATTTAATTTGATAATTGTAGGGGAGGAGGACATTATTTTGAATTTAAAGAAAAAAGCCCATGTATTTCACAGACTGCTCAAAATTTTTATAATACTATGAAGTGGACATGAGTAAAAAGACTTTTTGAATTATGTAGATGAAATGGTTATTTCTATTAATTCCGAATGTGAGAACATATATATAGCAGTCATCTGAATCTGCTTTATTTATCTACAATAATAAACTGTATAGGAAACCTCTCCATAAGGAATGCTTTTAATTGGCCCCAGAGATTAGGTATCCTCAACAATTATATGTTTTAAAGCATATTTTGAAGTTTCTTTCATTCACATAAAGGTAATAGAAAGTTGCTCTAAAAATTACCCCTTTAAATATTAAAAAATGCAGATGGAACATAGTCAAGCAACGTGAGTCCCCAAGCTTGCAAAGAGGAAAACTAATATCAAGCATAAAAATGAAATGCATCTTCCCTTATCTGTAATAAATAAGGTACAGAATCAGTTAAAGTGCATTGCTGAACAAATCCTTGAAATCTATTATTACTGCTATGCAAAAAAGCAACACGATTGTTTTCATATGTTCTATTCTATAAAGGCATAAATATAGTAGCTGAAATTACAATCTTTTATAAATGAAAGATGTTTTCTGTACCATTAAATTTAAAAATAAGTTACATACTTTTTCATAAATGCTGGAAAGTTAAGAAATTAATCATTGGCTGGTGCTAAAGAAAATATTTTTTGGAAATGCTATAGTTAGTATGTTCTTTAAGGCAGAGAGAGAGGGGGGGGGAAGCAATCATTTTTCTTGACATTTTTTGGCAAGAGATATAAAAGAAAATTATCTGTCATTTCTAAATTTGAATGCATATATTACACTAAAGCCAGCTCATTCAATGTCCACTGCTATTGCACTTCCTTTGAACACACTTACTTCAACACAGTAACAATGATTTGCAATATAACCATGGTAAAATACAATGTCCAATTCAGTGACATGAAAAATGTCTGCTTGTTTAAAAACTTGCTTAAGAGAATGCAGACCATCCTTATTGTTATCTGAATACACTTTTATTCACTTATATAAAAATGTTATTAATTCTCATCAATACAAATTTGTAAGGGAACAAAAAGATTTATCATGCAAACTCTTAATTAATGATATATACTGATGTAGAACCCCTTTTCTAGTCAAGTTAAAACAATATTTCCTTGGGGGAAAAGAAAAGGTAACAAAATAGGATTTCAAATAGGAAACTACTGCTGAATCCAAGTCCTTGTAGCAAAGTTAAGACAAGTTATGTTTCGGTTCATCACAGCCCTAAAGCCTTGTTGAAAGATTACTGTACTTAAGTAAATGCTACATTTCAAGGATTAAGAAAATATCAAGTAGGCATTATTATTTTTACTTAAAAGCAAAAGTTATTTTTCTCTGTAGTATGTCAAGTAGGCTTTTAGAGATTCAGGGAGTGGTAGATTTATAATCTTTTCCCGCAATAAATTTCGTGGAGGTTCCTCTGTTTTCAAGACTTCATTTTGATCTTTTTCATCATCTTCTTTATGGTCTTCCTCCATCTTTTCATCTTCTTCACTGTCTAGAGGTTGAGGAATGAGTTGATTGCCAACAAACACATAGGTATTAATCCTACGTCTACGACACCTTCTGCGTTTACGTTTTGGTGGAGGTTTCTGTGTAATACCTTTGGTTTGCATTTCATCATTCACATAGTTTCTAAGGGTGCGTCTAATGTAGATCCGAGCCAAATCCTGTAGATTCCTAACAGCACATGGAGCTATAAACAGAAAAAAATAAATTAAACAAGTCATGGTACTTAAATTTACACCATAAAATATTTTTATAGTGAATTATTATAAATATTCAATTAAATTTAAAATATGTAAAGGCAGCAATCACTTTTCTGTCATGATTTCTTGGTAACTTTTACAAAAGACCTTGGAAGGCAGTGTTTTTTGTAATTTCTTCCAATGGCTTCTTTGGCTCCTTGTATATTATTAAACCAGACACCATCATGAACATTTTGAAATAGGAGTTTCCCTATATTTCAAATATTTTTAAATATGAGGAGTATTGATGCTGTCTTGCAAGAAAAAAGCAAGCTCAGAGGGCACCAAGAATCCCTTATTTCAACCCTGAGCTACAAATATTCTCCTTTATTGGTATTTTAAAATATTTTTAAAACTTGTGCCCAATATAAAGACGTTTATAATAACATGGTTTATCAAACAAAAAATCAGAGATGGCAGAACAATGAACATATAGAAAACCACAACAGATCACATGTAACTTTAAAAATTTACACTTATTTTCAATAATCACTTTTGCCTCATTTACTTGCTATAAATTAATTCTATCTTTGCAGAAAAGGCATGCTATGGACTCCATCAGCCAAAAAAACGTCAGCTGGTGGAGGACCAGAGAAGAACTTTTTCTGCGATGGTTCCCACCCTCGGGAACATCATGCCCCTTGAGGTCAGATCCACCCCCACTCTCTTGGCCTTCCATAAGAGTCTGAAAACTTTGCTCTTGCAATTGGCTTTGAACACACTTACTTCAACACAGTAACAATGATTTGCAATATAACCATGGCAAAATAAAATGTCCAATTCAGTGACATGAAAAATGTCTGCTNGAATTCTTGTTAGCGTATAATTTATTATCTTTTTTATTTTTATTTAGTTTTATACCACCTTTATTATTTTTACAAATAACTCAAGGTGGCGATCATATCCAACACACCTTCCTCCTCCTATTTAGGTTCTAATGACCTAATCCTAATGACTTATCTCTGCATGTTTAACTATATCTTGACAATTAAGAGTTAAGATTTACCATACGCGTTTCCTCATATATTTCATAACTTCATTCTGTATTTAGAATTTTGGTTATGAGCTGGATTTTCTGCAAAGGCTCACTAAAACAGTCTTCCTCTACTTGCTATCCACCCGTGTGTTTGAATATAATCTTATCTAGTCATAGTAACTTGAATTATGATTGTTGTGACCACTCTAGTCAGAAAAGCATTGGTCTTCCAGTGGAGGAAGGCTGTTCTAGAGAAGCAGCACCAACATTTTGGGCACCAGGGGCCGGTTCAGTGGAGAGAGTGCTTGTCTACAGAGAGTGTCTGAAAATGTACATCTGGTAACTTTCCAAAAGATTTTGCCATTTTCGTTGTGAAGCACCATGGCTTAGTTTTATTTTAGATAATATTAACTTTCAAATAATGCTGATATTATTGTGTGTGTGTACATATAGGAATCTATCTTTTGTTCTTTACAAGAAAAAAACTCTCTTGTGTTCTAGAGAAAAGGGATCAGATGCATCTTGGAAAAATGATGACGAGCCACCTCCTGAGGCAAGGATATCCTTTGCATACTGATTTTGCACTTCAGTTTTCCCAATTCAAAATGTACTTCCTTTTTTTTTAAAAGAATAATATACGTATATGCAGAGAATATCACTTAACAAGAAAAATTAACTTGAGAAAATGAATTCCTCCTCATGGAGAATCTTATACTTTTTCCTGAAGTGATAACTTCAATTTAACTTCTTTCAAAGTCCATTTGTTTTTAATAAGTCAAAGAGTTGTTGGTGATGCATTTCCCACTCATATCTCACTATTATATAAAAAATCCCCTTTCCAAAGTCCAAAAGAGAGATCCTTACGTGCTAATTTTCATTAAAAATTTAGGATGCAAGCCACACATTTTTGAGGATTGTCTCTTTCCTTTTTTATGCCAAAGTTCATATATTCAAGAGGAACCAGATCTACCATCTGTAGGTTTTTTGAGGGATTCTTGAGGAGAAGGGATTGAAAGGTTTCAGAAGTTCCCTTCTACCAGTATGATGAATATCATCCAGTAGGGATATGCAAACCTGCAGATCCAGAAAAAGAATATTCTAGCATTCTGTGTGTTTTATTCTTCCAAGCCACAAAAATCTAATATTCTAGGTGGTCCAGTAATAAAGTGACTTTATGTCATGTAATCTCTGAATTCTTTCTTAATTGAAAAGTATTTTCAATTGAAGTATTTTGGAAATAATCTGGAAAAGATACATCGGGATGCAACTTTTTAAGGGCATACGTGCTGTGTGAAAAGACACAAATCTTAACAGAGTTGCAAAGAAATGCTATTCTTATGTGTTTATTTGCACTGAAGCATGTTTTTGGAATTAAATCCAAAACATTGCAGTTATTAGATATATGTTCTTAGATAAATGACTTGATATTACGAAAGTGCTATAAAATGCAAACCTTCACCTTTTTTTTAACCTTTCAGTTTTTTTATTTCATTTTTTCTAGGTTTTAGATTTTAGTGATGATGAAAAAGAAAAAGCAGCAAAATCACACAGGAAATCTCAGAATATAAAAAGAAAGAAGCTCAGATCACAGCAAAATGATAGCAGTAAGTAGCTGCTGTTCTGAAATATTGAATAAATATTTAAAGAACCTGGAAATCCAATTTTATATATTATTTGTTTAATATTGATATAATCCATTCCTCACTTTTGACTTTATATTTAAGAGCCTTTCAAATTTAGAATTTTTATATTTATAAAAAATACCCTTTATTAAAAAATGGAAGAACCTATCTCTTCAGCTGTTTAGGCATCAAGTAAATAGAAATAGTGCGAAGCAAAAGAATATTGGTTAACAATTCTTGGTATTTGCTGAAAAAAATAATGCTACCTTTGTCAAAATAGCAGATCAATAATTTTACTTATGTAATGCTGAATGTTGGAAAATGGAGCATGGATAATCATATATTACAAATGCAAAATGTATTTGCAATTGTCAGTCTCTGAGTTTTTATATTCTTGAACAATGTCTGTTTAATAAAATAATACTCATCTTGAACTATTCACAGTTGCTTCTTTTAAGATTTATAGTTTATCTGGCCAACAGATGTTATTTTTTTCTTTAAAAACAAAAGTTTATTTCTTTGCTGCTCATAATTCAAAAAATAAAATGTAACCTCAGGGTTTTCTATTAGGCAACCTAATAGGTATTACATAATATTAAAAACCATATGTTTTTTAAATAAAATATATAAAAAATAAATGATTAGTACACAATTTGATGGCTGTTATATAGTAGGCCAAGAGTTTATTCAGAATTTAGGTTTATTTAACTAACAGTGTTGTCTTGGGAAAACATAGCATTATGCATACCTTGTTTTTACAACATTCATAAAATATTACATTATGCTAATCTCTCTGTGTTTTTGTTTCCTTCTGTAGATGATAATGGACCAAATTATCAGTCCAGGCAACAACCTCCTTCAGAATATTCAGGTGGATATTGTAGAGGACAGCCTAACACCAGATTTTCATGGGGCAGACCTCCTCATGTAGCTCCTTTTCCACGTTTCTATAGGCAGCAGAATATAACTCCACAATATTATTCCTCTGACTATGGACACTTGCCGAAACCACCTACTTTTTGTCAGCAGCAGAGACTGGAAAGTATGAGAACACATCAGTATTCTTTCCCACCCCCATCTTTTGAAACTGTTAATCATAATACAAATTTTCCACCCCCTCCCCCACCCCCACCAGTAGATTGGGGGTGGCCTCCTACATGCCCTCAGAACGCCTATGAGCCTTTATTGTCTATGTTATCTTTACCTCCTCCACCCCCACCTCCACTGCCCCCACCATCTATAGTGCCTAACACGGGCAGTTCTCCTTAGGACAGAATATATTTTCAGACAACCTATAAAATTAAACCTCGTACCTCGATGGTAGATGGGTTAATATTTTCATATTTGCTTTGACGGAGGTACACTATTTTTAGTTATGTACAGAAATTGATGAGCATTTTGTATGAAATAAAAATATAGAAAGATGTTTAGCGTCTGTTTATGTTTCTGTACAAATATAATGGAGAAGATATTAAATGTTTCTTTTTACTGTCCACATTGTTAAAAACTATTTTTATAGATTTATACAGGTCTCTAATGTGTATACATTTATAACTTCCTCTAAAGCAAAATGTCTTGTTTCTCAATGCAATATGTTGAAATTATGTATTCTCTGTTGCCCCTTTACAATTGGTCTATATTACCATAGAAAGAAATTCAATTTTAAAAAATAGAATAAAATCTCCATAACCCAACCAAACGTAAGCATTATCCATGTCTGTAATATTTGGTGGGCACATGCTTAATTGTGCTTAGAGAACATTCAACGAAATAATAGAAAATAATTTAAAAAGCATGAGAACAGAACATGTTTTAACTACATATTTATGTATCCATCACGTTTATTTTCAAGGTAAATGCTCTTTTGTAATACATTTGATTTTTACTATAAGGCTAAACTAATGTTGGTTTACCTGAGACTGCATTATAGCTAATGTGGCTTATTTCTGATTAATTTTTAGGATTACAACCATGAGTTTTTCATCTTCCCATTTTCCCCCCAAACCATTAACATATTTGTTCCTTTATATATTTGTTAATTCATTCTTTATATATGATCATATGTCAACATACTTATTTTAGACTGGTCATTATATTTAATTTACATTTCTTCAGCATCCATCTATTCTTAACCATCTCCTTGTTTTACTATGTATATTCACTGTAGAAATATATAAGCCATTTTTGTTCTTTGAACAAATATTCATTTCTTGCAACAATCACCACAAGATTTACTACTTATCCACTGTAATTTTAATCTTTTCCTCATCTTTTTATTAATGTTCAGCCAAGATATACTAATTCAGTATTGTAGGTTTTATTTTATCATTTATGTATGCCATGGAACAAAGTTTTCTATTCTCCACAACAAACACAACTACTTTGGTTTTGGATATTTCAATTTCTAGATCCATATTTGTTAGTATCATAGAATATAAATGTTGGGATTATGGAAATTAATCTAATCCAGCCTCTTGTTCTGTATTAGAATACATTCTTGATAGTTGAACATCCAAGCCTTTGTTTAACCAGCCCTAGTAAAGAATTCACTACTTTCTGAGTAGCATGATCTATGACTAAACAGCTCTTAACATGAAGAAACTAACTTGTGCCCAAACCCCATTTCTTGTTTTCTCTTCTTGAACAACTGAATAATTTTGCTAGCTGTTCAGATACTTGATGGCAGCTCTTGCATCTTCCAGAAGTCCATTCTAAGCTTAGCAGACCCACACTCTGTAATTTATTCACTTTTCAGTCCATGACTGGACTGAAAAGATAATATTTTTCAAAACAGAATTTTTTTTGTTTCTAAACAACCTAAGTCTCTCTTTCTGTACTCTCTTATCATGGCCACACTACCATTCATGTCTATTACAAAATAATTTCCCCCCTTGGTAGCATTCAGTCAGAATGGATCATATTTTTCCTAAAACCCACCTCTGATTCTTCCAGAATTGCCATTATTACTTTGCAACAATCATCAACATAAGATTTCTGCTCTCCTATGCACATACTTGCATGACACTGATTCATAAATCAGCTTTCATTCATAATTAAAACCACTTTCACTTCCTTGTGTGCATATTGTTCAACTCAAAAAGTATCAGATTTTATTCAAACCTATTACATCTTTCTGTTAACTTCACAGATACGTAACATACTCATTTTATTACATCATGCTCTCTATCTTTTACATTTTGCTCTTCTGAATCAAATTTCTGGATATGAACAATCATTGCCTCCGCTGAGAAGGAAATTGTTATGAACATCTGCAAAAGGAAAGCATGCTAGAAAGCTTACCCAGGCATTATAAAGTGGTATTAACTCTTTCTTTCTTTCTTTCTTTCTTTCTTTCTTTCTTTCTTTCTTTCTTTCTTTCTTTCTTTCTTTCTTTCTT